GGAAAGACTGCATGTAAGAAGGTGCCCGAGAAACTCATTAGTGAGTCATTAGATGTCACAAGCTCTACTAAAGGGATTTCCTGCCATATCGGCAAGGCTTACCTATATTCTGAAGTTAGCATTGACAGTATGATAGAGCATGTGCTCATAAAATAGGACACCAGACACACAATCCAACCAGAAAGCAATCTGGTATGTTCATGCTGTGAAAACTGCAATTATTCCGCCATCTGTGCGGTATACTTGTAGATTATATTTTCATTATGCAGGATGTCAAAGAGTATTAGCAATTCTGAAATTATGCAAGTGCTGTTCTTAGAAAACATCGGTTGAAGGAAATTTATCTGTAGCATGTGTTGTTCTTGCTGTAACTTTTTTTTCCTTTTCTGTCTAATTCAACACCAACATTGCTTCACGGTGTAGAAGGTATGTGAATGAAAGGCAAGTGAAAATACATCAGCATGTTAGTGAATCAAGTTTATGAACACTGCTTAATTTTAGATAAATTTTAGAGCAGTAATAACAGTATTTTTTAAAGATCTCTCATTATAGCTACTTTATATAAAACACTGGCCGTGACTTTTTTAAAAAGTTATGGTTTTGCTTCTTAATATTGATCAGACAGTTTAGTCAAAATAGGCTAATAAAACATAAACCTTGAAGTCCACAATGAAGTTAATCAGCCTATAGTTGACTTCTTATAGGTGCTCCTCCTTATGGTTCAAAGCATTTTGGTAATACATAATGCTCTCCTCTTTTTTCAAAGTAATTAAGAATGATTAAGCGAACCTACTGGACAACTCGGGGTTTAGTATCTTATCCAAGAATACTTAAACATGCAGGCTGGAGGAGCTAAGGATCGAACTGCCAGCCTAATGATTAGCAGATGACCCGCTCTAGCGCCTGAGCCACAGCTGTGATACTAAAGATGGTGCAGGCACAGAAAGAAGTTCCTTTTATTTTAGGAATAATGTTTGCATCTGTGCTCTCAATGTTCAGTTGACAATGAATAACATACAAAAGTTACCTACCACTCCCTAATGAATGAAGTTCAATACCCAGCATGAGCTCAGTATTTGTTGTCTGTGGTTGTTATTCACTTATGTACCGCTGGCAAAAAAGAACAACACTTCCATCTTACTCAATCATATCAGAGACTTGCGTGACTGAGATCATAAAAGTCCTCTCTGCTGCCTTTTGTAGGCATCTCTCCTCAGGGTTATTTTTGCTTACATTGTTCTGATCATGTTTGAGGTACAGCAAACAAACATGGTCAAAAAATGTTTACACCGCATTTTTCCATGCTGTAAAATAATAATATTCCTAACAGCCATTTTCCTTATCATGTATTGCCATAATTTGGATTGGAGTGTTAAAATTTACTCACCTGAAGTGTGCAGTTTGAGCAGGTGCCAAGGTCTCAGTCTGAGGTCAAGGCCAAAACACTCACAAGACAAATTATTATCCATATTTTTAACTGTCAAAAATCAAATGACCTTGTCACAGCTCTTTCCTGACCACATCAGTCACCATTTACAGCTCAATTAAGATGTCATTCTAAATTATTTATCAGTTAGTGGTCGGCTGGTCTCTCACACCTTAAAAATGGAACGCTGGTGATAATAAAAGCCTGTTGTCATTCTTCATGGGCAGCCTGTCTACATAATAATTGTAAAGGTCTCTAGTTAGCATGCTGGATTACCTTTGAATTATAATTGAACAAGTTCAAAAAGTGTGAAGCTCACCTCAAGTGACAAGCAGTGTTATAATATTACTGCCAGGCAGCAACAGTTTTATCTTTTAATATGTTTTTATGCCACTGAAGCGCTTTGAACCTTGTTTATAGCTCAAATCCAAAAACCACATTTTCTCTTCTTGTTTTTTACATTCGAGGCAACAATCTATGCAGAGGGTCAGGCGGAGATTAAATGTATGGGGACTGACATATGTACCGTCGCCTGTGAAATATACATTTAATTTGTTTTTAAAAATTGGTATTCTTAGTGAGTAGAAATGATTTAGCAAGGCTCTTGGCACGCTGTACTTATTTTGTCCTATTTGTGTACATGTGCTTGTAAGAAGCATTGTTTATGATCAAAGCAATTGTAGATAAAACCTTAAAAAGTTTAGTTTGTCTCATCAAATGTCACCGTAGTATAGTTAGTAGGGTCATCATGCTACTAGAACTTTACACTCGACAAATACTCAATACCATTTTCCATCAGTGGGTAGAAAATTAAGAGTTAGGCAGAAATAGATTAAAACAATATTGTTATATGCAAATGTATTTATCTACATCCCAGTTCATTCTTTTTTTCTGCTGGTGACTTAGCACCCTATTTTCATTGCTTATCAAATGCAGTTGGTGAGGTAGGCTGCCACTGTTTCTGTCACGCTGTTAGTAGACTTTTCTCTGCTTTGATCTGGGACTTAAAGGGAACCTTAACGCTTAAAGTATAAATAACTGTGTTATACTATTCAACAAGCACTGCCTAGCTCCCACATTAATGTCACTTTGTTATTATTGGATTTAGCTAGACACTGTTTTGATAATGGTTTTGGATTCAGGAGATAGACACTATCTCTACTGTTAAGATTAGGGTTAAAACTTTCCTTTTTGCTAAAGCATATAGTTGGGGCTGGATCAGGTGACCCTAAATCCTCCTTTAGTTATGCTACAATAAGTGTAGGCTGCAGGGGGATTCCTGTGATGCACTGAGTATTTCATTTTCAATCACCTTTCTCACTCAACATGTGTTAATAGACCTCTCTGCATTGAATCATACTTGTTATTGATCTCTCGCATCTTCCACAGCATGTCTTTTATCCTATAAACACATCTTCTCTCACCCCAACCTGTCGCAGCAGATGGCCGCCCCTCCCTGAGCCTGCTTCTGCTGGAGGTTTCTCCCAGTTAAAAGGGAGTTTTTCCTTCCCACTGTCACCAAAGTGCTTGCTCATAGGGGGTCATATGATTGTTGGGGTTTTCTCTGTATGTATTATTACCTTACTGTTGTTGTGATTTGGCGCTAGATAAATAAAATTGAATTACATTGAACTGAATTGAATAATAACCCATGGCTAATGTGGCTGTCGCATAATAGTTAAATGGCTTAAGGTAAAGTTGTGTGTCAACTGGAGGAGGCAAAGATGGTACTGTCTGTATTGAGACTGTTGCAAATGAGTATCTAATCCGGTAGTAGTTTTTGTATCGATTAGTAGCTGAGTGTTGATTATTTGGACAACTGTAATAGAAACATGATAGAGACTTTATGATTATATGATCAAAAGATGTCTAATGCTGCTTCTGACTGTTGACAGACCCGTTCAAACTTTCCCACCCATCATTACTTCTCCACAAAAGTCCTCCGTATGGGTTTAAATTGGCCAAGGACAGCAGAGATGAAAGCTGCCCATAATGAGGTTCCTCCCTTAGGATTCAATGTGTAGCTTTGTCCCAGGGGCTCCTGAAGGTTGTCTCTAGAATCAGTCTGCTATGGGGCTCAAGCCCGAACAGCCAGCTTGTCTGTCACCTTGCCATGCAGTTAATGTTGTCTAGAGGTGAAGTTTACTTAGGGACAAAATCTATTTTTGGACATCATAAAATATGAAAAAAATGTACGCACATGTGATATAAGTGAAGCTTTCTGCAACGTAGTCATCATGCCTCATCTGAAAATATTGCACCGTGATCCACACTTTTAATTTGCGCCCTTGTTCATAACTTCATTTAACTTCACCCAAGTTTGTCACCGTGGCTTTTTCCGCAGTGTTCACAAATGTGAAACAATAAGGCTCTTCATTTTTTGTTGTCATGAAAAGACTGCCATGACACCTCGCCTTATAGGCGATCACTGTTCATTCTGACAACAAATGATAAAGAAAAGCTGCCTTGTCTGTCTGCTCCAGCTCCTCTCCTCTCTGACTAGAAGTAGGTTTTTGAGTTCACCGGGCATTGAGCGGCTGCACTAGGAAGTAACCTGCTAACTTCTCCACAAAGCTAGCATAACTTGATTCCTCACGTAATTTTTTTCCACATGCGTTATCGGCATCAACAGTCAGTGAAAACATTAACATATTCTCACTGACATTTTACAGAAAGCAAGTAAAATAAGGTAAATTATATAACTAAAATGCAATAACATTTAAGTCTTGAAAAGACAATAAAGCATGTAAAAAGACAGACATAGTAATTCACTGTTCTGTATAAGAGGGCAAGGTAAGTAAAAGTTAATATCACTAGATATCATATTGTAAGCAGTACTCAACCTCAACAAAGCTAAAATACAACGTCAAACTTCAGTGATTCGATTTTATAATCCAGCCGCAAACTACGGAGACACCTGCGAGTCAAAGTGCACAGTGGTGCATATTAAGGCAGGACCCAGCGGGAGTTCACAGTGCCCAAAGCAGCAGAGAGGAGTGAAGGAATCTACGACTGAAAATAACAGCATGTACACACCGAAGCAGACCTGTTATATGTGAAGCTCACTTGTGCATTCCCATTATTGTTACACTAAACCTTCTTAGATGTTTCTTCCCTTTTGGGAATCAGATGACTTTGTGTTTTGGAGGAGATAATGCTGAAAATGATGATGATGATCAGTTAAACGAGGACTGACCTTGTGTGTTGTCGTTATCATCACTGGGTTGATGTGAATCTGCAGCTTCGCCCTCCCTGCTTGTTACAGTTGAGAGTGAAAAGAGCAACTCCAGAATCTTTCCCATGTTCTGCAACGTTTACCCTGCGTCTGACCTTTATGTTGTTATTGAAGAATCACTTTGCGAGGCTAATTATTATCATAGTGTAATTGGGTGTGTTTTCCAGAACTTGGAGTTAAGCTTTGCTAAGTGTGTAAATAGGGGATAATTACTGCTGTGCATCTTGACAAAAGAGCTAAAACTTGGTAGGATGGGAGACGGAGAAAATTTGATTTGTATTTTTTTAACATTTAGTGCTAAATCTAAAACGCTGCCTCTCATTTACTCTCTCTTTGCAGTCCGTCTGCTTTGAAGCCAGGCAGCTGTGTGGGGCATCGGGTGTGGATCCTGCTAGCCATGACTCACCTTACCTTGGACTTTTCTGTGTGCAGCCCTCTCAGTCAAGGTCTGGGGATCAAACTCACGCCTAAACCGGTGCCTCGCTCACGGCCTCGCTTGCAGCCCCTCTGGGATAAGCCTAACATGCTTCACTGGAGAACAGTGAGCCCGTTAGCCCACCGGCTCCTCAGCCCTGTTCCTCCGCCCCAAGACAGCAGGGCAGGAATAGTGCCAAAAGTTAAAGGTCAAAAGCATTGGAAGCCAGCACACAAAGGACAAGCAGCGTGCAAGAATTGCCGGCTGAGATACTCTCAAAAAGAGACGGGCGATCCTTTGGCTGTAATAGCAAAAGCTCCAGTTGCTTTATCAAGCGGGAGGTTGTTAATTAGAACCAGGAGGCAGCTCAAATGGGACAGCTATGACAAGTCTCAGGAGGGCCGGACTACAACAGTGGCTGGATTTATTGACTGGGGACCCACGGGGACTGATAGCATAGATGAGGATGGCAAAATGGAGCCAAACTTAACGTCCACCAGGGCTGCAACTACTACAGTGGCCACAACCACTAGCACTACAACCAGGCTCTCCCAAAGGACGTTCACTGTGGTGACCACAACAGAGTCCAAGAGCACCACCAAGTCCTCTATGAGCAACACGGAGTCTGTCAAACCACCAAAGCTAGACCCACCAGGGGACACACCAGGTAAGAGATATAAGATATATATAGATATAGATATGTTTTTTTTCTCTCAGTAACTGTTAAACAGACAAACATAGAGTGCTGTGAAGGTAATTCTTCAAGTCAGCAGTGTCCAAACATGCTACTTAGATTTTCCTTTGCAGGTTGTCTTTTTAATAAAACATTTCTCAGGGGAACCTTAAGCGGATAAAGGTAACACATTTGTTAAATCAGCTCTGAAAACATTATAAATAAATTATGAATTGGCTTTTCTCTGCAGAGCTTTATTTTGTGATATGACAAGTTTTCCACAGTTGTGTTTACAGGTATATATACACGTAAAACAGGTTCTATAGGAATGAAACGTATGTTAATGACATTTCCTAACAAATTCATAATCTGTTTAAGCCCCAATGGATCTATGGATAATTGGCCACTCTCTGACAAACTGAAAATCAAATGAATCTGAAATATACAGCTTTGCTTTTACACTGAAAAGGGGTTAAATGTGTGACCATCACACATTTACCACCCTTACTGGTCTAGCCAGTAACGGTCCTGGCTAGATCCCCCATGCTTAAAACCAAGCCCTGGAATGGCGCGGCTATGTCTGCAGCCTGTCCGCAGCTCGGACGCAAGAATTTCACTACATGTTGTACCCTGTTTACTTGTCTATGTGATAAATAAAGGTTGTTGTTTGTTTGATTATAAGCCTCTATAATCACGTTTTCACTGTACATCTGATGATCTGCTTTCATGACTATAATATTGCAGCTTAGAGATATAGGCGCTGATACTGACAGACTATGTCCTCGACTATATTGTAGCCCTCAGGTCTGAAATACCGGTGGTGGGCATTTTATGGGCAAGGATTTTTATGGGCAGTTCTTCTGTAATGTGGAAACACAATCTTCTCCTGCTGGGCTTATTAGATTTAGTATGTCATTATGTCTATGAGGAACATGTTTTTTTTATTAAAATGACCTATGTAAGTTATGTTTTAACAACTTAGGAACAATAACTGTGGTAAATTAAGTTTTCCCATTTAGTGCAGTAGCAAAAATGGCATAAAAGTATGCAAAGATAAGGAAGGACTTACTCAGTTTCAATGATAAATGTTAGAGGAATCAAGAAAAGTTCATCCTGCAGTGGGAGTATTCAGATAATGAACACTTTGAACTATTTGCTGTTACTCAGTGCTGTTCAAGCCCTATACTGGAACAACGATGCCTCCCAAAACAGCCTTGAGTGTTAGTGGCATACATATAAGTTGCACTGTGATTGAACTGTATATAGCTCATGCAAAATGAAATGGCAGGACATAATTATCTTGTCAGTGTTGTTGTGATCTCTTCATTTTCTCTTGATTGGGAGGTAAGTGTGAGACCACCTGTGATTCAGATGATGGCTTGTATCCTGGAGGAAATCAGTCACCACAGCTAACTGAAAGCTGATAAGAAAGGAGAGTTGAGACTTTTTCTCCCTCCAACTGGTTGAATATTATTGTATCAATAAGCACATTGTGTCTGATCAGAGCAGATGAAGAGAATCATGTTTCAGAGCAAAGAGTGGGTGTGTAATCGCAGCAGAAATTTTCCCTCTGCCTTCACAACACGTTAACCGTCTGGCTCATATTAGCCCCAAGGCAAGATGTAATTACCACACGAGCAGTGCAGCATTGGATTGCTGAAGAATTGAAAGCATTGCAGATGGAGAGGCGCTTCACTGTATGCCTGTCTCTTACTCTCATATCTCTGAATTGTCTTAGTGGATGCATACAAAATTTCTTAGTCATGATTGATGAAACTTGCAGTGGGATAACCTCTCACTTGCAAACTTAAACTGATTCTGTTAAAGTGTGAAAAGTGTTAATAAAATTTATTTTAATTTATCTAGGTTTCTCCTTCTCTCTTACCACTATCCCTCACAGGAAATCCTTTCATAGAAGGTTAAGATCTATGACTGCACTTCCGGATGTCTACTGTGTCTAACCTGCCCGCTGCATGCAATGTTTTTTAACTTTAACAGGCAGATGAGTTGACATCATCTGACAGCAATGCTAACAACAGCATCTAATCTGTCAGTGCCTAAGACATAAGGCTGCTTTGTCACAAAATAACTGCTGAAAGTAGGGCTGTTCGATATAACGATATATATCGGATGACGATATAAAAACGTCTATTGTTTCATTTTACGCTATCGTTTGTTTCGTGGTGTCGCAAAATAAACTGTTTACAGCAATATTTTTTCATCGTTTTGATGGTCACTGTAGTGGCTATATTAATTTCTTAAAGTTCTCTCTTTCTCTTATATTTTATAAAACCACACTACGGACGGACAAGCGCCTGTTTTTATGCGTTGTGGTTAGCAACAACGACGGTAACAGCATCGCGTGTCCGCTTGTTTATGTTCCACATAAACCTTTCACAATAAAGCTCAAGATCCTGTTGAGACTTTTCAAAATAAACTGAATCACGTGAAAGAGCAGATTATCTACGGATGAGAATTAAAAAAGAGCCGCCCGGTGCTAAAAAAACTTTAGACTCAAACGTTAGAACAGGCTTTTCCCCGCAGCACGCCGTGTAATAAATACAAAGAACACGGCGGCCTTTACAACTTATGTCTAAAAATGTATAGTTTCATGCATAGGTTAAAACACTAGACTCCAGCTAAATGACGCGCAGCTGGAAACACTTTCCGCAAGACGAGCTGCCCGAGATTCACAGAATTTACAGAAAATGTTACATTTTTGTGATTTATATCGTTATCGGGACGATAGAATTCTTATATCGGGATATGAGATTTTGGTCATATCGCACAGCCCTAGCTGAAAGTTATTTTTCGTACAAGACCAACCTAAATGTCAGTGCTTAAACAGAGCTGTGTCGAAGTCCATTTAAGGTTAGTAGTGAGTAGGAGAGAAGCTGGTGCACATGCATGCAATGTAGATGCATTGCTCTGAAAAATGCATAACCAGTGCAAAAGACTGTGCATGCATCATGCATGCATGCAGAGAGTTCAAGCGCATTTGGCACCCAGCTGGTATCTGCTGAATGTACTTTTCGCTCCGTGGTTGTGCCTTGCCATCCTCCAAGCTTTCACTCACTCTGCTAAGTTAACTGTGGCAGTTATTTCAGGTGAATGATACAATATTTTCATGTACATGGAAGTGCCGCCACATTTCAGTTCACATTCAAAACATGGTCAAGTCATCTGCAGCCAGTATGAGAAGAACCTAAGAGACTATTAGTTTCAATGTTATGAGGATTTAAACAACTTATGCTATTTACTAACCAAGTTATTCTAAACTAAACATTTTTAATTACTGTTGTAATTCTCCTGTGCTTGATTGTTTCCTATATTCACAGTATCAATAAGCATGTATAACCCCAATTCTGAAAAATGTTGGGATGCCGTGTAAAATGGAAAAAAAATTAAGGTTTAAATTGAGAAAATCTGCCCTTTATTTATTGAAGAAAAAATATTAGCTCATTTTGAGTTTGATGGCAGCTCTTCTCAAAAAAAATTGGGAGAGGGCCACGTTTTCCACTGTGCAGCACCAAGGGCACTCAAAAGTAACTGCATTCTTAAAGTATCGATGGAGAATGACAGTTAGCTCATAGCATGCATTCTGGATTCTGGGGTTCTGCCATCCATCCATCCCTCCATCTTCTTCATCGATATATACAATTTAGGGTCACGGACATTCTATAAAAAAATCTAAATTATTAAAAATGCCAGAAGTGTTATTTCAAGTTGGATGATTAATTACAAAAATGGTTTCTGCAATGCTCTGAATGATTGCTAAGAAGCTGCAAAATAGCTGAAAAAGATGTCTAGAAATTATGTATTTAACAGAGCCAGTTATTGACTAATTAAATATTCATTTGTTTGGTACATTCATCCTTGCACTTACTTTCAGTACCTTCTTCTTCTCTTCATTTATAGTGTTGATGCAGTTTATAGACTTTCTAAGGCAAAAAGGTCCTCGCAGCATGGGCTGGTAGCACGTTTCCTAAAATAATTAGATACATATTCAGATCAAAAATGAACTTCCTTATACTAAATCACTTAGTTGCTTTAGCTCAGCAGCTCAGAAAATGTCTATATCTTTGCTGCTTAGGCACTCACTGACTATGAGACCACAGTACAAGTAGAGACATGCAGCCGTGCAATAAATGCACATTATGACTCATGAATATTGTATGCTTGCACAAACGCAAGTCGTGAATGTACTTGGTGTCATCCCATATGGCGTGTGTGTAACATGACTGTAATCATTTCAGAGTGTAATCGCTGTCAAACATGAATGCAAAGAGCAGAGAGTGGCAGAGAGTAGAGGAAGCTACTTTCGACTGCTCTCTTATTCACAAGGATTTGCCAGTGATAGAGGAAGTATCCAAAAAGCCTTTTTTTTTAATCAAAAAAGAAAGAAAATAGAAGTAATGTAGATTTTTTTCCGACAGTAGTCTGAATGCTACATTCTGCTGCTTGACTGGGCTCCGATAAAATCATTAATACTTCAGGTGATGGTGAATTTCTGAACGCATGTTGCACCTGTATGACCACAAGGATAGAAAAAAATGTAGAAAAGCAAGCTCCACAGCACTTTGAAAACCAGGTTTATTCTGTCATTAGCGGAAATGTCTTCAGATATTTAAAAAAATTCCAACTTAACCCCAAGCTAAATCAAACCTAAGACTGCCATTACCATGGCAACAGGCAGTTACACCTGTGTTGACGATTGGGACTCGAGTCACAAAAGGAGGAAAACAGAGCTCATATTTTGTGCTTTTCTAACATTGATTTTGGTCACACAAAGCGAAAGGAAACTGTCCTGATCCTGACTGCAGAATTCACAGAACTATACTGAAACCTGAAAATAATCCCACCTATGCCACAGGATTGCACTGCGCTGAGCTTTTATGCAGCAGAAAGTTTTCTGTACTGTTTGCACCGTTGACTGTTGCTGTCAATTTTTCCCATATTTTTTTGTCATAATCTTTTCTGGATTTTCTGGAAGT